TACGTTAACCGAGGCGTTTGTAAACTGAGGTATGCCTGTAACATGGTACCAGGCAACACAGATGGGAAAACAATTAGCAGTCTTAAAGTAGCATCCCAGTCAAATCCTAACTATAACTAAACCTGCTCCTACCTCATTCTAAGCCTATTCTATCTACCTTGTAAAGGAAAGATGTCTATATTTACCTATTCTGTAGGCGCTCCATTCCGGTCACATGATCGGGTCCCAGTGCTGGATTCAGTGTGGAGGATGGACAGCCAACAAGGGATACCCCATATTAAGCCTATGGGTGACGTCATCATGCAGGCTCGGCAGCAGCTGTCGGCAATCTCTCCTATTCACTAAAGCCAGCCACTGGAGAGATCATGTGACCGGATTGAAATCGCCTTTAGAATAGGTAAGCATGGACATCTTTCCTTTACAGTTTTGTTAGAGAGCCCATTCATTTGAATGGACTCCCGTGCCCCAGGATATGCAGGGAAGAAGTCCCTGCACTACCTGGGAAATCACAGCCCACATGGGAACCAAGGTTCCCCGTATAATTGCAATTTCCACTGCAGGAGGCAAGCCATTAGAATTAATAGGGTTGTAAACAGGTTGAGGTATAGTTAGGATTTGATTGGAATTCTACTTTAATGGTCACACTGACACTGGTGTGGTGGTGATCTGGAGCACTGCTACTTGATGTCCTGGTCTGGTGACACTGACACTGGTGTGGTGGTGATCAGGAGCACTGCTACTTGATGTCCTGGTCTGGTGACACTGGTGTGGTGGTGGTCAGGAGCACTGCTACTTGATGTCCTTGTCTGGTGACACTGGTGTGGTGGTGGTCAAGAGCACTGCTACTTGATGTCCTGGTCTGGTGACACTGAAACTGGTGTGGTGGTGATGTGGAGCACTGCTACTTGACGTTCTGGTCTGGTGACACTGACACTGGTGTGGTGATCAGGAGCACTGCTACTTGATGTCCTGGTCTGGTGACACTGACACTGGTGTGGTGGTGATGTGGAGCACAGCTACTTGACGTTCTGGTCTGGTGACACTGGTGTGGTGATCAGGAGCACTGCTACTTGATGTCCTGGTCTGGTGGTGATCAGAAGCACTGCTACATGATGTCCTGGTCTGGTGACACTGACACTGGTGTTTTGGTGATCAGGAGCATTGCTACTTGATGTCCTAGTCTGGTGACACCGACACTGGTGTGGTGGTGATCAGGAGCACTGCTACTTGATGTTTTGGTCTGGTGACACTGGTGTGGTGGTGGTCAGGAGCACTGATCCTTGATGTCCTGGTCTGGTGACACTGGCACTGGGCTGGTGGTGATCAGGAGCACTGCTACTTGATGTCCTAGTCTGGTGACACTGGCACTGGTGTGTCTAGTGATCCTGAAAAATATTGCTGGTTTACCCTGGCTCTGGTGACACTGGCACTGGTGTGGGGTTGATCAGGAGCACTGCTGCTCACTGCACTGGTCTGGTGTGGAGGAAAACGTCAGAGGAGAACCTGGTTTACATCTGTGCAGCCGTGCGGGACGTGATTTGCGCAGGCACGAGAGCCCGTTCATTTGAATGGACTCCCGTGCCCCAGGATATGCAGGGAAGAGGTCCCTGCACTACCTGGGAAATCACAGCCCACACGAGAACCTAGATTCCCAGTATGGTTGCAATTTCCAGTGCGGGCGGCGTCCCATTAGAATAAATGGCACCCGCCTGTGGTTTCTTCATTCCTCTGTGTGGGTGGTGCGGCTGCAGGTATTTGTTCTGTTCCTGCAGCAGCACCACCCGCACAGATGTAAACTAAACGTAAAGGAGAACTCAGCAGCACAGGGGACACATCTCACCGGAGGTATTATAATGACCCTTGTGCTTAGTTTTTTTTTGTGTGAACCTAGGCTCTAATTACATAATTATGGATTTTACAGAATTGGAAATTCTGTCAGTACTATGCATGTGATTTTGTGTTATCTGACAAAAAGAGTGCTATAGAAATTATTTTTCCATGACACTTTCTTATCTGTAGCAAAACATACTTTAGTTGTTTTATTATTATTATACCTATAGGACACAATCATCTTGTGTTCATAAGGTATTTTTACTGCATGCATAAAGCTGTTGTCTGTCTGGTTATTGAACTGTCTATAAAAGGCAACAAAAACTGCAGTGGTTTGTGACATATTTCAGTGTGTATAAAAAGCAAAGTACAAAGTTTACATGTAGGATAATACTCTGATTTTTTTTTTCCAGCATGTTTAAGGTGATAGTAGCCATATTAGAACACTTGAAACAACACAGTTGAGTACCGTCCGTGATACATTTTTATTTGCTACATTTTCAGGACAAGCTATTCCCTTCTACCCCCTTCTTCCAAGGTCCAAGCAGTACTCCATCTGAAAATGTAATGCCACGTTCACACTAACCGACTAACCGACACAGCAAATCAGGACAGTACAGAAAATCTCCCAAAGAGAGTAGAATTCTCTTCTTAGACAGTTGTACCTGGAACAGGTGTCCCCAGTTAAAGATTTTTGCTTACATTTTGTTCTGGGGACACTCTAGAATTTTGGATTTGCCCTCCCTTCCAATCATGGCGACAGTAGTTATCAGGACACACAGGGGGGTTATTTACTTAAGATGTAGAGTGCTGGTACAGCTCTGCATAGAAACCAATCAGTTTCCAGGTTTTATTGCCAAAGCTCAATTGAACAAGATGAAGTTAAAAGCTGATTGGCTACCATGCACAGCGGCACCATTTTCTGAGTGCTCCAGTTTTAGTAAGGCTAGGCTCATACTTATGCAATTTGCGTTTGATCCGTTTCTGCAGTGCTTTTTGCAGTGTGTTTTGCTGCGTTTTTGCCACGCTTTTGATTTGTTTTTTTTGTGTGTAAAAAAGTCCCTGACCCTTTCCAAAACCGGTTTAAATGTGGAGTTGTGAACATGTTCTATAGGAACTCATGTTAAATGGACTGTAGTGCATTTCTGCAAAATGCTGCGGAAATCGCTTAGGTGTAAACCTAGACTAAGGCTTCATGTACACGAGCAGCTCCTAAACCCGAGTTTAGGAGCTTTTGGCATTAAAAGGCTATGTGTCCTTCCATATAGCTGCAGCTCCTACATGCATCCCCGCCGAGCACCCCATATAAATCCCCTGACTACGCCAATCACAGCCGGCCGTGTGTGTACACCGCAGCCAGTGGCGTGATAACATGGTGTGTGTCCGCCATGAGGGCAGCTGTGCAAGTGATGTCATATGAACATAGCGTTCACGGGAAGGATGTGCATGCGCGTAGAAAAGCGCAGGCACACTTTCAGGGCTGATGCCATCAGAGAATGACCAGGAGAAACCCAGGAACATTGCAGCCAATCCAAAAAGAACACTCCCAGAAGGACTACATTTAAGTTCCCTATGTCCACCCCCAGATTGGTTTTCACTGGTTGCCGCCTTCTTAGTGTAAGCTCAATAATAATTTTTGAATATTACATGTTATAGCATTTTGCTATATGTAATTGATTGTGTACATATTTCTCGTTTTTATATATAGTAGTACCGTCTCCCTTTACAAAGAAGCCACAGTCCTGAAGAAGCCATAGACACAGGCGAAATGCGTTGACCGTTCCTAATTGTATAATAATATTTTTTGATAATAGTATTTATGCACTATGGTGATGTGTACTATATAGTATGTAAAGGGTTAATGCCAGGAATCATCTCCATCTTTGACAAGGTGTCCTGGATGTTGTCTTTTATCTTGTTTGTTATGGTCTTTGTGTAAATAAAATTGTACATTTTAAATATGGTAGTTTGGTCTGTCAATTTGCCTATAAAATCCATTTTGGCCGTACAATTTTTGTCCGGTGTTTTTTTCTGTACTACATATTGAATGCGGCACTAGGAAGTTTATTACTTTTGTAGTCCCCAGAAGTGTTTTTTATGCTTTTTTTATACTTAACCCTTTTTTAAAGTCTTCTGGCTGTTCACTAAATGGGTCTTTTTCCTCTCTGGCCTTTACCTGAAGGCCCCAATTGTTTCAGAGAACGGTGCTGGTGTCATATTCCTGAGGACTGGTGACCAGAACTGGACAGCATACTCAAGTTGTGGCTGAACCAGAGTTTTGTAAAGTGGTAGAATTATAGTTTTATCTTCTGGGTGAATCTTCTTTTTGATGCATGCTAATAATTTGCTGACCTTGTTTGCTGCAGCTTGGCATCCAGGAGAATCTGCTCCACATTAAGAGTCCATGCACACTTGTGCAACTTGCCATGCGACTTTGGGGTCCAAGTGTGCTCCTAAAGATTAACTCCACTTTTGTTGCGAAAATAACTTTCCACTCTGGCTGATCAATGTACATTGCAAGGATTTTAACAAACTTTGTTGCAGATTCCTACTTTTCATAGTTCATGTGTAAAGTGAATCTTTATGGGAGTGATTTTATCAATCAGCTGCTGCACCTGCAGGGCTCTAATGGAGGAAACTGGCAAGGCCTGCATCCCTTTAGACGTGTTTTCCTTTTGGGAGTACCTCACCAAAAATGACTTTTTGTTGCAGGGGATGCCAAAAATCTGATGTGTATCTTAGTGCAGAATTCTGGGAACATCAGTGAGCCAATCACACAAGCAGGTAATGGCATTTCTAGGGGAAGTTTTGTACACCATCTGTGTACAAAACACCCCCAAGTAGCCATATTGCATTGCATTTTACAGAACATTACAGCTATGCAGATTGAGAGGGAAAGGTCATTTTAATTAACATTCAATTATAATATGACTTGTGTTTTAACTGTATACACTATACTGTACATATTTTTTTTATTTGCTTTTTTTCCCCACGAAAGTGGAGTTACCTTTAATATATTTTGAAACGCATACATTTGGATATTACTAGCATTTATTGATAATATGCAATTATGACTTTCCTACCCTTATTACTCAAATATTATTTTAATTACAGGAACAAATATGCTGCCAATCGGAAAGAGCAAATCTCTTGTCTATTTGCCTATTTGCATGCTTGTAATATTTCCCTCACTTTTGAGTGCAAACAATGAAGAAGACACAGTAGTGGAAATAAAACAAGGGAAAGTCAGAGGATTCCACCTACCTACACTCTCTGGATCCGTTATAGCTTATCTGGGCATACCTTATGGTGAAGCTCCAACTGAAACACAAAGGTTTAAAAAGCCCAAACCACGAAACCCTTGGCAAGGCATTTATAATGCTACTAAATATGGCAAATCCTGTTATCAAAGGAAGGATGAGGCCTTTGCTAGATTTCCAGGTACAAATATGTGGCAAGTAAACAATGAAATGAGTGAAGACTGCCTCCATCTAAATGTTTGGGTTCCACTGTCCAAGCCAAAGTCAGCTCATGTCATGGTCTTCATCTATGGTGGGGCTTTTCTTGCTGGCACATCTTCCTTGGAAATATATGACCCAAGCATCCTGGCTTTTTCTGAGGACATAATTGTAGTGTCAATGAACTACAGAGTTGGGGCCTTTGGATTCTTGGCATTACCAGGAAACCAGGATATTCCAGGAAATGCTGGCATGTTTGACCAACAGTTAGCTCTTAAATGGGTCCATGAGAACATTGTTGCTTTCGGTGGAGATCCCAACAGTATTACTCTTTTTGGACACAGTTCTGGAGCTGCATGTGTTGGTTTTCATTTGCTTTCTCCTGGAAGCCAAAACTACATCAAAAGGGTAATTTTACAAAGTGGCTCTGTTAGTGCACCATGGGCAATAAATACTAATAAAAGGGCTAAGAGATTAACTTTGAAACTGGCAGAACTCCTAGGATGTCCTGGTAATGATGAAAGTGCAATGGTAGATTGTTTACAAAAGATGGATGCTATAAAAATAGTTGAAAAACAGTTATATGTTGAAACCATACATCCCTTTGCTCTTACTAGAATAGCACCCATTGTGGACTATGACTTTATTAGTGATACACCATCTAATGCTATAAAACAGGGTTTTAAGAAAACAGAGGTTTTAATAGGTGGGACTAAAGATGATGGAAATCCTTTTGGAATATGGGGTGCTCCTGGCTTTAGCTGGGAACATGACAGCCTTATAACTACAGAAGATTTGGTCAAAGGAATTACACGATTTTTTCCAACAGCTGGAGAACTTGGAATAGAATTAATTTTATTTGAATATAAAGACTGGGAAAATAAAGACAGTAAAGAGCAGAACAGAGAGGCCATGGAGCTTATTTTACGAGATTATTACATGATTTGCCCAATGAAGCACTTTTCACAGGAAATATCAAAACACAAACTCAACATATACTTCTATGAATTTGATCATCGGTCTTCTCAAGAGGTCTGGCCAGAATGGATGGGAGTTCTCCATGGGGCCATACTGCCATTTATGTTTGGGAAAGCACTCATCAAAGAAAGAAATTTCACAGAAGCTGAAGAAAATCTTAGCAAGCGAGTTATGAAAGTGTGGGCCAACTTTGCAAGACACGGGTATGCTATTTGTTTTTTTTAACTAAACAATATTAAAAAAAAAGCTTAACCCCCTCACAACACAGTACACATAGAGGTGGTGTCCAGGAGGCAAAGTTTAAACTTTGGAGCCAAATATACAGAATGAGTTACTGTGTTTGTGCTGGGAGCGCGCTCAATCACGCACTCCCAGCACAGAGACTAGGCTTTCACCAAGAGCCCCGGGTCTTCTACTAATGATCAGAAACTGGCAGTCCTGCTTCATGATCACCCAATTGCTGTGATAGCCTCTGATTGGCTATCACAGTGATCAATCACTGTGCAGCCCGCCCCTGGATTTTTTCCTCCTTTGAATGGAGAAAAATGTAAACAAAGTTGTGGTAAAAGAAAAAAAAAATAAATATAAAAATAACAAAAAAATAGCTAGATCAAGGTTTGATTTAGGTCAGTGTCAGGGCTGGGTTATGTGTTAAAGGTCAAGGTCAGGGTTGAAGGGTCAGAGTCAGTATATTTTAGGTAGGATTTTAACTTGCCCTCCTGAGGATTTACCCCCCTTCCTGACCAGGCCATTTTTTGCATTATGGTGCTGTGTTACTTTAACTGACAATTGCGCAGTCATGCAACACTGCACCCAAATGAAATGTATGTCCTTTTTTTCCCCACAAAAAGAGCTTTCTTTTGATGGTATTTGATCACTATTATTTTTCACTTTTAAAAAAAAAGACAGACAATTTTGAGAAAAATAAATTTTTTTTTGACTTTTTGCTATTAAACATGTCCAGTAAAAAAATGTAAAAAATCAAATGTCGTCATAAATTTAGGCCAAAATGTATTCTGCTACATGTCTTTGCTAAAAAAAATCCAAATACGTGTAAATGAAATGGTTTACGTGAAAGTTTTTAACATTTACAAATGGCAGTATAGATAATGGAATTTTTTTTATACTAGTAATGGCGGCGATCAGCGACTTTTAGAGGGACTGCGGCGGGCATTCTGACAATGGGGGGAACTGACTTGGTGTCACTGACATCCCCAGTGACACCAATATAGTGATCAGTGCTAAAAAAAAAAGCACTGACACTGTACAAATTGCACTGAGCAGGAAGGGGTTAACATGAGGGGCAATCAACGGGTAACTGTGTGCTGTTTCAGTAAGCTGTATGTGTGTACTTCACTGTAATCACATTGGTTTGGATGGCTGTGCTGTGCACAGCCATCCAAAGCAGTGTAAAACGAGCTGACAGGGGGGAGAATGTATTGTTTACATACAGTTCTCCTCCCTGTCAGAGATGCTCAGCAATCACCGGCCGGGGACCCGGTGATTGCCAGCCGTGGCCACGAATGGCGGCATGGGTAGGACGTGCGTGTCCCTTATCTGGAAATGCAGTATTGTTTTTCGTTATACTTTACAAGGAAAGCCAATATAATTGTATTTCAGTTTTATTCATTTATTCATATACTTGGTCAGGTGTTGCTTTGGGCAAAAACATTTTTTTAATAGTTTATAGGGGAGGGGCACTTACACCTCTATTTGTACTGGTTAACCACTGTCCCTGAGAAATAAAGTGCAATAGGTCCAAATTTTAGACACAAGTAAAAATCTTCCAATAAGGGCTCTTCTTCAGGAGCAGCTGTTTAAGATGGGAATATTTCCTCTCACTTCCTGTTGCATCTGTGGGACAGGAATCAAAAGGTAAATTTTCTCCAATAGTACATAGAAAGCAAAAAAATAATTTGGAAGGGTTTTTAACAGTTCCTACTCTAGGAAAAATAATTTTCTAAACATATGCTTTACATTAAAAAAAGGTAAAATTGAAATTTAATATTTTGTATTATTCAATCTTTATTTTACAAATAACTATGAATATAGGGTGCACCCATGAAATTATGATGGTTTTAGAGATTAGCAATAATCCAAACCTATCCAAACCCAAACAGCAAAACTATAATATATTGCATCTAGCCACTTCTTTTTGTGGCTGCTTTGGGTTTCTTTTTTCAGAATTTTTTCCTTTATTCTAACCTGGAGATTCTGTAGCAGATCAGTTTGCCCCATGCTATAGAGGTAGTGCGGAGGTGTTACAGGTCATGTACTCATGGAATGGGGAGTGTTTAAAGTATGACACCCTCAAAGAACCCATTCAGTTTAAAATAGAAATGATAAGCCATGGGGAAGAATGCTGTCATAGCTTGTGGTACCTCTGGATGGTTCAAGATGGTACGAGCACCCAGATATTGCACATTCTCCACCACCTCTTCCCCCATGTCCCATCTCCTTTCATAACAGCCATCCACCCCCTCCCCTTTTTTTTTTTCTTGTCTGGCCGTTTTGTTAGCTTGTCTTTTTTCTTGTTATATATGAGAAGGCCCTTTACTTGATCCAGGTGCACAACTAAGTTGCAATATGCCTGAGGGTTTTTCCTCTTGAGATACCTCAGGTAGCATGGCCATACATACTCTTTTGGCTTCACTGAATATAACATAAGGTATTACTGTTTGAGTATCGGTAACTGGATGTGTTCATTGAGATGCACCGAATATGTCAACCTTTATGCTGTAATATGTCATTGGCCTTGTTGAGTAGCTCCTCTCCTCCTTGTCCTTGTTGGGAGCTATAAAGAAAGAACAAAACAAAAATGAAAGGCAAAACATTTGTGTAAGATATACAAATATTACAAATACCCTTTTCCAGTTTTTTTATATAAGTGATCATATGTCCTCTGTTCTCAGCTGCATATAGAGGTGAGGGTGGAGAAACAGCAGCATGCTGATCTTTCCAGTGAATGGTTGTGGGGGGGGGGGGGGTGACAGCACAGGTTTGGTCACTGGAGGAGAGCAGGCTGAGTTCTCAGTTTAGCTAGAGAACTGACCACGCTCTGCTGTCATGCTTAGTGTGGTCAGTCAGTTTTTGATAGGAAAGCAGGAGGACTGGCAGGAACACCTGGGATTTCACACAAAGAAAGCAATACAAAGAGAATAGGATATGTTCTCATACAAGTACATGGTACATCAGGCACATATCAGGAATATGAAATGTTGGGTTTGCATATTCTTTAACTCTTTGCTGAAAATGTACACTCTTTCTCCTATTATATCTTAAACACAAAGCATATTGCACCTATAGGTCACCTGTCTGTAAAATCATCACTTTTATTTTTCATTTGCAGAACACCCCAAAATCCTGAAGACAACTTTACCTGGCCTCTTTACACCAATGAAGATGAAAAATATGTAGTCCTAAAGACCGGTTCCTGGGAAGTTAAAAAGAATCTGTATCCTAAACGTTGTCGGTTTATGAACTCTCTCCTTCCTAAATTTGTCAGACAACTAGGTAATATATGTTTGCATTTTTTAGCCTCCCTGGCGGTATGATTATTTCAGATGTTTGGTGCTGAAAGCGGTAGCATTATTTTGCATGGAAATTTGGCGTTTTATATTGTAGGCCTGTAATTCTTAGGAATAACTCACTGAAATCTGTCCAAACAAGAGTCTAGTAAACATCCTGGGTATGATAAAACCTGAAACACGAAATCATAAATTATAATTTAATAAATAATAATAAAAATAATATAATAATAATACATTTAATTCAATAATATAATCAAACCAAAAACACTGAAATTTGAAATATAGCGCCAAGTTCGCACATCACTGAGCAAAGTCACAAAATCGTTTTCAGTGTCTGATGACGAATTTCCCCACGAATCATTATCACTCAATTCTGCAAGTAGTTCTAATTTACTATCGCTGTTCTCTAGCCGGTCTAAAACCACTTTTGACCTAAAGGGATGCTTTTTGGACGCCATGGACATTTCTCAGTTTCCAGGTAGAAAGAACAGTAAAAATGAAGGCAGGGCACAGGACAAAGCACTAGGGACAAAATGTATGTGAAATGGTTTGGTACAGTAATGTTTTACTATGTGATTTTAGTGATTTTTGTGAATGTCACTTTTTGTCATTTTCAAATTTCCCACCGTTCAGTCCCCCGTACGTCCCGACGCTCACAGAGGACGGAACTCAGATGACAGATGCCGGCATCCGCCGGATTACATTGCCGGGGACACTGCAGGAGGGACATCGCGGGAGCGCAGGACAAGGTAAGTGACCGAGGGATCGCGGAGCAGCGCCACATGGTATTCCCGAGTGTAGCTCGGGGTTACCACTTGTGGTACTAAAGCTTTACCCCGAGCTACACTCGGGAATACTGCCAGGGAGGTTAAATGATAACATTGTTAAATTCATGACCAGGGGACTAAAGATGGCTTATCCCCCTTTCCCTTTGACCATTACCTCCTCCCCTTCACATTAATTAACCACTCGGACAACAAGCTGGAGTTAATGGCTAAAACAGCCTTTTATTACAACAACAAATAACATTTGTAAATAATGTAAACAGGTCCCAGTAGGCATCAATAAATGAAACTACCTGTGTCCTACTTAAAATAGGCCTCCAGCCGAAAACACACCGACTCGGAGACAACCACCACAGATACCACCATCAGAAAAAAACTGAGAGCCGTACCTCAGATGGGTCCCTACAAAGTACCTTTTTGTGCCCACAGTGACCTACAAGGACTTTGCACCCCATCGGCTCCCATCAGCACTAACAAACATGACCACAATCCAAAAAATGGCAAGACGCAACGGGTGGGAGGGAGGGAAGTTTTCCTTTGCTAATCTTCCTTCCAACTGAAGATCCCTTCCCACATCCTGTCCAAACCAACCCCCGTGGCTCCACCCTCTCCTATCTTAACCACTCAGCACTCCCTGTCCTATTTCGTGCCAATTTAGATGACTCTCCTCTCTGCACCCCTTTAACCCCTGTCATGCCGGCCCTCCGCACATGTCTTCTGCTTTCCTCTTACTCCAGGCCTCCCTTTTTAATATGAAAAGGAAAGGTAAGTAAAAGCTAGTTGGTAGAGAAAGCTGCAGTGGTTCCTGTATGTCTAAAAAGTCTTTTTAACTAGCTAGTTCTGAGGAACTTACATCTTAAGGAAATTTTCCATATGTTTTCTTTGCAGAAAAACCCAACCCAAAACATAACTTTAAAAATTAAGTATAACCAAAATCCTTACAAGGTTCGATTATGCCTTATGCGTATCATGGAGATAATTTTTCTTCACATCTGGTCCCAGAGTTAGAGAATATATCCAAAAGTGAGGGGAATTCTCTACTTAGACAGTTGTCACAGGACTACATGCCCCCCATGGAAGATTTTCTCTCTCATCATTTTCTGGTAACAACTCTAAAAATTGTTGGATTTTCTCTCTTTCCTACTTGGTGACTACAGTCACCAGTACAAATAGAAGGATACGCTGTAAAACTACCTGATAGGGACATGGAGGGCAATAAATATGTTTTAGAGCAGGGGCAAAACAAACCTAACCCACAGTAAAACCTCAGGGGCCCGCGGTGGGGGTAAACCACAACACATGTGTAATAGATTATCTAGCGAGCGCTACCTTAAAAACTGTTAATGATATGACAGAAAAGCAGCTGGAACACCAAAAAAAGGTAACCAATACACCTTCCAGAAAAATATAGACAGTGTGTAGGTGCAGCGCTATGAATAATATAGACATATAATAAACCAATGACAATAATCAGCGTGCAATAGCGTGGTGATTAAAGTAATACAAGGTATATGGTATAACATCCAAATAAAACCATGTGATAAGAAGATCCTGTAGAATCCCAGTTTGTAGTGGGAATATGTGATCCAGAGGTGATAGATAATGAAATAGAATGCGCACTCACCAGAAGTGCGTATTAAATACGCCTTAGGAAAACCATCCGTCTTTATCTGGCACGTGAAGGTCCTTCTATATTTCGAACAAGCTGCATTCACTACCACCTATCTGGTCATAGGACAGGATCCTGGGGTTCAACTTTTCCTTATTCATTCACATCATCATCAAGTCACCTTTACGGGCAGGCACTGCAGAGGGTGACGCTCCCAGAGAGAGCCCAATAAGGGACATCACATAGTGTGATACTGTTTAAGGAACTTTATTGATGTAAATCAGATAAGAAAAGACAAATACTGACCACAAATTCAGGATGGCCACCAGCGGTGGGTAGATGTCCAGAAGCTGTAGCCCCCTGAGCTACACAACACATCAATGTAAAAGCAGCCTTATAGGGGGCTAAGGGCAGTAAGGGCTCATTTACATGTGTATTTGGGGGGGGCAGTAATCACTTAAGTGGCCCTCACTGTGGTTGAGCCCTCACAAAAAGTTTTGACTTCATGGTACATACAAATATTAAAGTGGTAGTAAACTCATTTTTTGTAACTTTTACCTACAGGTAAGCTTATAACAAAGCTTACCTGTAGGTAAAATGGAAATCTCCTAAACGTGCACCATTTATGTGCTCGGAGGGAATGGCATACCTGTGCCGTTCCTTCAGAGTACTGTGCCATGGCCCGAGTGACGTCATTGTGGCCTGGCCTGTCAGACAGCCGGCGCTCATGAACCTGGAAGGAAAACCGGGTGAAGATGGAAGCCTTTGCAGAGGGGACAGCACGCCGCTGGAGGGCTTCATTTGAAGGTAAGTTTTACATAATGTGCTAGTATGCTAGTACACTTTAAGCTTCACACCCTTTACTGAACGCCAATAGCGCATTTTAAGCCTAGTTAAGCAAAGGGAGGCACAGACCGGCTGGTCCTTGCATTGCTTTTCAACCAAGATTGGTTCAGGTGGCAGTTAGGGTAGGGAAGATTTAGAAACTTTGCAAGGTTTTAATTGTTGTCTCACTTCTTATCTTGGTAAAATCATTGGAGGAGACAGAAAGTCTTTTAGAAGAGTGGAGAAAAAACAACTTTGATGTTTGTATTGCAGTCTGTGTCTTTCCATCGTTTGTTGTTCTGATGTCACAGAACTAAATAGTGAGAGTCTGTTTCTTTCAACTGAATTACAGACAATAATAGAAACCTAGCAAAACAGGGCTGCCAAACAAGCTGTTGATCAGGCCTGTGCTTTCAATTCACACTGGAATAAAACACTATTGTAGGTCCAGTTCACTTTTGATTTGTTCACTTTTTTGCCAGTCAAGCCTTGATGAAGGGGACAGCTAGACCCCCGAAACACGATGGATACTTCTTGAGTTATACCCCTGACCTTTAATGGAATAAAGTTGTATCTGAACCTCCTAACAGTGATGTGGTACTTCGATTTCAACTCTTCATACATTACACTATGAGCCAAGGAGACTGTAAAGATCCTCTAGGGCACCAATGGGCAAACTACGGCCCGCGGGCCGACCTTTTAATCCGGCCCGCGGAGCATGCTAAAAAAAAACAAACACAGCCATGGCAGGCAAACATTGGCTGTCAGGATGTGTGTAGGCGGGGCAGCGTGACGAACGTGAAGGGAGCTAGGCTCCTCTCACAGTCCGCCCTGAAGACCGGAACGGCGCGGGAACACGGCGAGAGGAACGCGCGGAGCAAAGGTAAGTGAATTGACACAGGGGGGACTTGGCTTACTACTTGGGGGGAATAGTACTGTGGGGGATGAAATACTATATGAGGGATGAATTAATATGGGGGATGAATTAATATGGGGGATGAATTAATATGGGGAATGAATTACTATGGGGGATGAATTACTATATGGGGGATGAATTACTATGGGGGATGAATTACTATATTGGGGGTAGAAGTACTATGGGGGATGAATTACTATGGGGGATTAATTACTATATGGGGGATGAATTACTATGGGGGATGAATTACTATGGGGGATGAATTACTATATGGGGGATGAATTACTATATGGGGGATGAATTACTATCTACTCTTGGTCCGGCCCCTGGGTCCAATATATGAACCCATTGCGGCCCTCAAGTCAAAAAGTTTGCCCACCCCTGCTCTAGGGTGTAGAAGCCGCTTCCCAGGAACCAGCTCGTTTACACCAACATCAATACCTTAAGAAAACAATACCAGTAAAATAGTCCTACGGGTCCCGTGCTATCTTTCCACTTTCCTCAAAAGTAATAGAAACCTGACAGAGATTCACTTCACCACCCTTTTCAAAGCAAAAACACAAATGGCTGGAATCAGTCTTTAACCGCTTACCCACTGCCGTATAGCAGATATACTGCTCCACTGCGGCACGGGTGCACAAAATCACGTATATATGCATGATTTTGCATTTCTGGGTAGGGGCCTACCCGTGCCTCCGTTCATGGCCGCGGATGTCAATCACCGGGCCCTGCCTGGTGATTACCCGTTTGCTCCCGGTGATTACTGACAATCACCGACAGGGAGGAAGACTGTTTTGTTTACAAATAGTCTTCCTCCCTGTCAGCTCGGGCACACTGCTCGTTATGGCTGTGCACAGCACAGCCATCCCAATCAGTGTGTTTACAGTGAAGTACACCCCACCCCCTAGTAAAACACTACCTACACACAGTTAACCCTTTGATCACCTCTCTCATTAACCCCTTCCTGCCCAGTTTCATTAGTACAGTGTCAGTGCTGGTTTTTAGCACTGATCACTGTATTGGTGTCACTGGGGATGTTAGTGGCACCAAGTTAGTTCCCCCTCAGTCTCAGAATGCCTGTCGCAGTCCCGCTAAAAGTCGCTGTTCGCAGCCATTACTAGTAGGAAAAAAAAATCCCAGTATCTATACCTCTATTTGTAAGCGTTATAACTTTCATGTAAACCAATTAATTTACACGTATTGGGATTTATTTTTAGCAAAGACATGTCGCAGAATACATTTTGGCATAAATTTATGATGAGATTTGATTTTTAAATTTTTTAGCTGGACATGTTTAATAGCATAAAGTCCAAAATATTGCTTTTTTTCTCAAAATTGTCAGTATTTTTTTGTTTATAGCGCAAAACATTTAAAACTCACAGCCAATCAACTACCACCGAAAGAAAGCTCAATTTATGGGAAAAAAAAGACATAAATTTTATCTGGGTGTGGCGTTGCATGACCGTGCAATTGTCAGTTAAAGTAACGCAGAGCAGTAACGCAAAAAAATGGCCTGGTCAGGAAGGGGGGTAAATCCTCTGGAGGACAAGTGGTTAATAATTTGTATTGATCAAGTAACATAAATGAATCCAAAGATTTATATGCTTCAATTAAACTGACAATTATCAGTGCACCAATCATCCCTGTATAACAACTGGACACAAATAGAGATATGTATTGTTTCAGAAACGTTCAAGATACAGCTACACAAGTAAATAAAACCTTCCAGCAAAATAACATATGGATTACTAAAAAAAAAAAAAAAAACCACGTTGCATATTTTTAATCAGATACAATTCCATACACTGGACATTCATATGTAAATAAAGATTGTAAGGTGTTATCATTCTTGATCAGGGGTCAGCAACCAGTAGATCTTGACCAGGTGACTGGTAGATCTTGGTCTGGGCTTTCTGGCCCACCAACCCAGAGCATCAAACAAGTGCAATGCAGAGGAACTACTTATAGTTGGAGCTGTAGTAGGAAGCAAGAGCCACATAAGTTGATGTCTCCCATGTAGTGCTGCTCCTGGCCCTGTCATGGTTGGTGTGTATAGCAGCTGCCAAGCATGACCCATTCAAGTGGATGAGGCCATTCTGCAATTGCCCTGCAACCTTGTGCAGTACAGCAAACAAGGGGTTAAACAGGCAGCAGTGTATTGCTTTCTCACCACACTGCTTTAAACCCTTGGACACTGCAGAAGCATTCAATCGTGGGGCATTTGTAGAGTGGCCCATTTACTTGAATGGGTCTTGGTTGACACGTGGTAGCACCCATCAAAAGCAACAGGGGGTGTAATTGCTGCTGCGGCATGTGTACATCTTTGTCTGCTGCCTTGGCAGCTAAAGGGGGGTAGAGATTGGGGGCAGTAAAACTGTGATTCAACCCAACCGCAGGGTTTTACCCCCCCAACTTTACATGTGAACAAGCCCTTAAGGTGCCACTGCCGAATGCAATGAAGGGCTCATTCACAGGTGCAGTAGGCACTGCTTCTCCTCTGCAAAGTGATCCCAGTGCATTTGACAGGTAGCGAGGAGGCGATATGTTGCCTCCTCATCACCTGATTTAAACCCACGATTGTTGTGCAATTTTCACGATTGTGACACGGTAGTACAGCAATTAAAGGTTTAAATCAGGTGTGAGGTGACATTGTGCCCGGAGATCTTTGACTGGTACCATGTTGTTCAGGTAGATCACCTCTTTAAGGTTGCTTATCCCTGCTCTTGAACTAAAATACCTGGTTATTAAGAAAAAAAAAGCTGTATAAAGACTGAAATAGTTTAAAACGGCTACCATGCATCAACATTTGCATTGCATAGAAGCATTATCAGTTACCCTAAAGCTGAACTCTTGGAACAAAAAAAATTTGTGCAAATGGTAAACTTAGAGGTGGCAGCCCTAACAGCCATGAGAGCAGCCCATCTAGTAGTTGTGGTGAGGGGTAGTGCAGGAAGGCCTAAACAGTTGGTAGTAATTAGGGATTCCATGATCAGAAAGACAGATAGGATAATTTGTCTCTAGGATCATTTCAATTGAATGGTCTGCGGTCTCTCTGGTGCCAGGGTTCAGCATGTGGTGGACCGGGTTGATAGATTACTGGGAGGGACCCAGTTCGGTTGGGACCAATCACAAAATACATGGAAGGTGGAGGCTCCTTAACCACTTCAAGTCCCAAGTCCACTTTCACTCCCTTCCAGTGCAGGCCAATTTTCAGTTTTCATCACATTTTGAGTGACAATTACTCAGTCATGCAACACTGTATCCATATGAAAGTTGTATATATTTTTTTTTAGACAGATAGAGCTTTCTTTTGGTGGTATTTGATCACCACTGAGTTTTTTTTATTTTTTTTTTGCTATATAAATTAAAAAAAATACCGGAAATTGTGAAAAAAAAATAATTTTTGCTTGGTTTTTGTTATAAATAGATAATTTTTCTTCATAAATTGAGGCCAAAATGTATTCTGCTACATTTGGGGGGGTAAAAATAACCCAAAACAGTTTATATTATTTAGTTTGTGTGAAAGCTATAGAGTCTACAAACTATGGGATACATATTTGAAAATTGATCAGTTGAGATCCTAAAATGTTGGACGCTTCTATAGCATATGGCAGTGATGAGAACGCAGGTATGGCAGTGATCAGGACATTAGCATGAGGTATGGTGGTGATTAGGACACTGGTTTAGAGCGGTGATCAGGACGCTGGTATGGCAGTTGCCAGGACACTGTTATGGGGTATGGGGGTGATCAGGATGCTGGTATGGGGTATGTCTGTGATCAGGATGCTGGCATAGAGTATGGCAGTGATCAAAACAATGGTATGGGGTATATGGCGATGATCAGGACGCTGGTATGGCATATAGGGTGATCAGAATGCTGGTATGGAGTATGGCAGTGATCAGAATGCTGGTATGGAGTATGGCAGTGATCAGGATGCTGGTATGCGGTATGGCGGTGATCAGGGCACTGGTATGGTGTATGGAGATGAACAGGATGCTGATAAGGCATATGGCAGTGATCAGAGTATTGGTTTGGGGTATGGCGGTGATCAGGATGCTGGTATGGGGTATGGTAGTGATCACACACTGCAGGATCGCTTCTCTCTCTTCTCACACTGAGAGCAGAGAGAGAAACCGATCTTTACCTTCACTTTCTAGTGTTTACTATGTAAGTGCTGTGATTGGTCACAGCAGTCACAGGGTTAAACACCACATGATCGCCCGGGTGTGTGCATTCTGTGAGCCGCGCAGGAGCCCTCGATTAGTGGTTGCAACTGAATGCAAGGTGTAAGAAGGAAGGATATGGATTTCTAGGGTATTTGGCTGACTTTTTATTGGGGTACAACCTATATGCTAAAGATGGTCACAGCAGTCACAGGGTTAAACACTAAATGATCGCCCTGTGTGCGCACTCTGTGAGCTGCGCAGGAGCCATTGGTTAGTGGTTGCAACTGAATGCAAGGTGTAAGACGGAAGGATATAGGTTTCTAGGGTATTGGGCTGACTTTTCATTGGGGTACAACCTATATGCTAAAGATGGTTTGCACCTAAATGGAAGGGGGTCTGTAACTTCCACAGATTGAGAATCCAGTAGGACTAGTGCTAGGGAAAAATAATGCATTTAGTACATGTTCTGATAAAGGGCTTCTGATTGCTGAGACACTACAGTCTCCCTCCAAAATTGTATATTATGTAATGACTAAAATTGTAGTTTATTTTTTGTAAGCTAAAAGAAAACAGTAGCACACATGATTGTCCAATATTTATCCTGCATTGTGTATACTTTTTTTTTCACTACAGGGAAAACATTTGACGGAAATTTGTGGAGTGAGCCAATAAAATCAGAAGAGACTTGCTTCAAGGATGAAATTTCAGGAGAAGAGTCATGCCAATCAATCTTGGATTGAACATTTTTCATTAATTCTGACCCCTTTACTTTCTTCCTTTCCTTTTTACTTTTGCAGTACACATCCTGATTTCCAGCTTCCAGGGGGATTTGCCAGGTATGGTATATGCATAGTTACAGTGGTCCAAGCTTGACCAATGTACCTAGGTCTAAATTATCCATACTTGAAATTCTTCTTTAAGGCCTGAGGATTGTTCCTGGGGTAGAGACCTCCCCCCAATACAACACTCACATTTTAACAGGAGAGCTCTATTTCAAATGCCGTCAGAGCCCCTCAGGATATCTGTAATACACTGAGCCCCTTCCGAAAGGAATGCTCATCATTTATGTTAAAAGTGAGGTTACATACAGTATGGTCATGTGTCTGGATGTGCATTACACATTCTTGGTTTATAAGGAATGTAAGTGGATTAAGGACATTCATAACCAAGAACCCCAGAAACGCTTGGGTGTGTTTATTATCGTTAGGCACTTGGTATGAGTAGATCAATGTAATTCAAAGAAAAGTAATATTATATTAGATCTGACAAATCCTTCTAGTAACAAGTAAATACTAAGAGCGCGTGTTCAAAAATGATTAACTTATACATGTATTCTATTACACACTTTCTATTGTTCTATAAATATAAGGGTTTTCTTTGCATTTTCATATATAATCTCCCATTCCTGTAAAGTTGATTACCAATGGAATTTTCTAAATCTGCCATGTATTTATGCGCAATATGTTTATCTGTGATATCTGTAATAAAGAATACATTGTTAAAATTTGACTTTGCATTTCTTGCCATTTTAAATTAGGGATTAAAAAAACTGTACTGAAATTTTCATGTGCAAGTTTGTACATACAAAAAAATATATGCTTAGAGAGGAAAAAATGCTGCAGAAAGTTTTTACTTTAAACCTATTTTTTCCTTCAATATTTTTTATTGAATTTTAAGTCAAAAGACATTTTAGGAAAAGAAACAATAAGGTAATAAAGCAAGTAAGGGATCATTAGTAACAAAACATGTTGAGTCAGGAAGGTGTTTACTACATAATTTAGGAAGACACATGCAAATAAAACTTACTATCCCACCCACGTTTTCCAATATATCAAACCTTTTGCGAGAAGCTGTTTTATGAGAAAACATTCTTTCATAGGAATATTGGATGTTAACCAAATCTATACCTTTGGAGGGGTTGGGAGCCAAA